ACAAGAACGTCAACAGCCTTTGCCCCTTGTTTCTGATTCATTGGGTATCACAAACCAGTGAGGTTACGTGATAAGGAGGGACTCTTTGATCATGCCTATCAAAGTAGAAAATTGATAAGGCCTGGGATGTACGATAGAACACGTTGATATATAATCGGTAGAACGGCTCCTTTATCCAGGAAGCCAGGAAACTCTTTTTATTGTTAATATGTTTATAAATTATACTGCGTATTATTACTCTCCACTACCTCGTTCAGGTTGCATTTCCCCTGAAGCCAACTCCTAATAATTTATAAATTCAATAGTTAAAAAGAAGAATTAATACACACTAACAAGCAAAAAATTCCACCCAATTGAATTTTTTTTCTCGATAAAAGAAAATTCTGACCTTAATTTGTCTCATTGTTTTTATCAATAATTTTTTTTTGCTGTGTTTTAAACTGTGAAAATCAATTAGAGTAAATACACTTAATCCTTAATCCAAAACAAGGATAAAGGATTTTTCAATGTTTACTTCTTACGGAATTTAAAATGTTTGTTCCGCCTCATTTGATTTATGAAGCACTAACCTGTTTAGTTTTCATCTTTGTTTTATTAATTTAAATTTTTAAACTTAACTGCTTAACTGGCACTTATTGATGATGGACGTTCCATCAGGCCTGCGGCTATTACAATTGGAGATCCATACGAAACACAGCGAGACGCCGTTAGACATTTTTGAGAAACTGGGTTCCACCATAGGAGGCCCGGTTCTAGACAAACACGTCATCCAAAAGAGCCAAATATAATCAAAGATACAAAATTGAAGTTTTTTCAAAAAGCCATTTTTTAAATTTAACCTTTGATTTAGTAGACATTTTTATGGAAATAATTAAAATTAAAAGTACAGTCTGGAGCTTGCCTTTGCTGAATATGTCTTAGTTTAACTAACGGTACATTAAATAAAACTTGGTAACACTCTTATATAAAAATAATTAAATTCACCAATTTCGTGGTCCGCTTGACCAATTAATATATTATAATTAATTAAGGTATTTAGTTGAGATAAAAAAGTCAATGGCACGAGCGGGATTCGAACCCACTATCTTCGGCTTGATACGCCGCTGCTCTACCACTTGAGCTATCGTGACCTCGATCCACTCGGACACCAACTTCCCATCTCAACCGCACCTTTTGAATTTTCCATCCTTTTTGCCATTTTTCAAACCTGAAAACCCTGGCAATAAAACCCCCAACCCATCCTCCCCTACAGACTACCGTCCCATTTCCATCCTCTCAAACCTGTCCAAGCCCCTAGAAAGATTAGTCCAAGCACAAGTCTCCAGGCACCTTGAACAGTCCCATCTTCTCAACCCCCTCCAATCTGGCTTCCGCCAAGGATATTCCACCCAATCAGCACTAATAAAAATCCTCCACTTAGCAATGGACCAACGGAAAGTTACTATACTTGTCCTTCTTGATTTTTCTAAAGCCTTCGATTCTGTCCCTTACTCTTCTCTCCTCTCTAAACTCGTATCTTTTTCCTTCTCCGCCATCACCATCCGTTGGTTCCACTCCTACCTTACTAATCGCCACCAAGCAGTCTCCCTTCCCAATGGCCTTACCTCCTCCTTCCTCCCTCTAAAATCTGGGGTGCCCCAAGGCTCTAGCATCTCTCCTATACTTTTTTCCATTTATATCAATGATCTGCCCGACTCCATCCAGTACTATCACCTATATGCCGATGACTGCCAAATATACATATCTTTCCACCCTTCTGATCTTCACTCGGCCACTCTCAAGATCCAAAAAGACCAAAACTCCATCAACGAATGGGCCCATAAAAATTCCCTAGTCCTCAATCCGTCCAAATCCACCGCCATAATTATCGGGTCCAGGCAACTCCTTAATTCCCTCCCCAGGATCCCACCTCTCATGCTAAATAACCATCCCCTTCTGCTCTTCGGTTAAAAACCTAGGAGTAGTCTTTGAACAAAACCTTTCCTGCTTTCTCACATTTCCTAAATTTCCCGCCATTCCATTACCTCCTCAGCCTGTTTCATCGGTTCTGGCTTCTCTTACCTTTCTCCACCCGCAAACTCCTTGTATCTTCCCTTGTACTTCCCTTCTTTGATTATAGCCGTTTGGCATACGGTGGTCTCTCGGAGGGGGAGAACGAGCGATTGAAGCGTCTTATGAATTGTTGCGTAGATTTGTGTTCGGCACCCCACGAGGGTCCCGGGTGTCCCAACTTTCCTGGCTATTCCCCTCCTTCCGTGCACTGTATTTCCTATGCTGCTTTCTTTTCTAGTCCATCCACACTCGTCGTCCTCCTTACATCATCCAATCAATTCAACTCCTCACATCTCACTCGTAAGACCCGCTCATCCCCAATCGATCTTATCCTTCCGCAAAATACAACCCATGCCTTCGAAAGATCCTTTCTGATCCGAGCTCCTAAACTCTGGAACTCCCTTCCCCTTTCTATTCGTTACGCTGCCTCCTTTTCCTCCTTTAAATCCCACCTGTATAATCACCTCCTCGCCCTCCAAGCAGAGACCTCACGTTAACATTTGTTATTTTTGTTTAATATTCTCGTAATTTTTTCTTCTGTCCTGCCTTATTGGTATACATTGTGCCAAGATTTCTATCTTTTTTATTTTTTATCTTCATAAGTGATTAAATGGCTATTATTTACCACTGAATGTCTTTAATTTAATAATTTTGTAAAATTGTTTAAAATGATTAGCTCTAATGATGATGACATTGATCTTGACACTTCGCGCTTTACTGACAATGAGTGACATCTGAACCCGCGAGAGACAGTCACAGTTGTGTGATCATGTGCCAGTCATCAGTTAAACACGTGTGCACTAACCCCCAGATCAACAACCACCTCCAACTTTTCACATTTCGCATTATTAAAAGTACATTGCTTATTAAATTTATATTTCGCCCTATCTATTTATCTTTCTTGGCATTACAATCCTGTGTGATCCAGGCCTTCTTAATCAGTTTGTTAAAAAAAGCCCTTGTCGTTTGCAGTTGCCTTCCAGTTCCTAGGATATCACTCGCGTGCGTCCCGAGGCCTTGCGACCTTAATACACGGCCCATTTGTCCAACCGTTATTTTTGCCGACACTTCCCCATCCTTCATCCTCGCATTTGGACAGGCCAGCTTTCTTGAAGTTTTATTACTTTTACAACATTTGCTTCTTTTAGCAGGTAGTGTGCTTCCTCATTTGGTCTTCTTCGCAATTCACCCCTTTCTTCCACGCCACCCAAAAGTTTTCGAAGAATTTACCTTTCAAAAATTAAAAGATTCTTTTATCAGCCTTACGGATCTAAGCTTATAGAGCTTTCGATATTACTGAACGGATGAGGGTTTTACAGATCCAGATTTTTATACTCCTGGTTATCAAACTGCTTTATATATATTTTGAACGGCCAAAATAGATTACTAGATAAGGTGTTCCGGTTGATCAGCTTGGATTGGCGGAATTAGGAAGACGAGAATATATAAATTTGTGGACTTTGTTTAAAGATTACAAGCCAACTTGCAAATTTATCTCTCAATGGTCCATTACCACCTCTCGTACATTTTGTTAGGCTGCTTCATGTAAAGCCAGGAAAATACCTGATATCTATCTCGTCCGCATTGGCCAGCAGCTAGATGGCTTTAATGAGTATGGTTCCTGAGGTCTGGATGCATATAGAGCTTTCGATAGTACTGAACGGATGAAGGTTTTACAGATCCAAATTTTTGTACTCCTCGATATCAAACTGCTTGTGTTCCGGTTATCAGCTTGGATTGGCGGAATTAGGAAGACGAGAATATATAAATTTGTGGACTTTGTTTAAGGATTACGAGCCAACTTGCAAATCTATCTCTCAATGGTCCATTACCACTTCTCGTACATTTCGTTAGGCTTCTTCATGTAAAGCAAGTAAAACACCTGATATCTATCTCGTCCGCATTGGCCAGCAGCTAGATGGATTTAATGAGTATGGTTCCTGAGGTCTGGATGCTTGAATTGAGAGTGAAATGAATCAAGGGCTGAGTTAAACAGAAGGTAGGCCAGAAAGTCACATTGCCTCAGTCCTTTATCTGTCCTGAAAATAAGCGATACGGAATTCCGATGAACTATCCAACTTTGTCATTTTCACCAGCCTAACGAGCATGGTTGGTTTCTTGTATGGCCTCATCTTCATAAAATCATAGCCCTTTTTTTAACTTTAAAACCATGGTGACAAATTCTTATATGTGTGTTCATATTTGCGGGGGGGTATCGTGAAAAAATGGCTAAAGGCGACGGTGGGAATCGAACCCACGGCCGCGGCGTCTATGAGCCGAGAGTCTCTCACGCTAACCACTCGGCTACCGCGGTCCCCTAAAACGTTGACTTTTAACATCTATAAAGAAGGAGGGGCACCCATAATTAAATAACTTTCTTAAGAATCAAGGGAAGGGTGATCTGGTTTACTGTGGACTTAGTCTTCCTGATACCTTGATGAACTTGTTAGAGAGGATTGATAAAGAGAGCCACGAAGAGTGAAATGTGTACACAATGTGTTTTTATGCACTGGGCATCTGATGACCTTGTTCCACTGGTGCGGTATAATTCATTCACCCATGCGGACATAATTATCGAAGGTTTTATAAAAGTTATATTTAAAGGGTGTAAAAACATGGAGAATGAGAGAAAAAAACCATATGTGGCTTATGTTGGTATGCATTTCGAGAACCGGCACTGGGTTACGTGCTGGATCGGTCAACGCTTACATGTTTTGATGTGACTCAATCGCTTTCGCCTTTGCGAGGATCTGGGAGTTGTAGAAGTCAGAAAGTGACCCACTGCCGGCTCAACATATGAATAATATGTTGAAAGTATTAAAGATTTCTTCATATATGGAATAGTTTGCATTATGCTGTATTCTCGTGAAAAGTTTATTATTTCGACTGTGTTTATTCGAGACGGCATAATGTACATGTTGAAATATTGATAAAAAACAAAAAAAAAACTAGTTTAAAACAACAAGACTTTATTGAAATTGAGCAAAAACAAAAGATCAGATGGGTACGACGATCATCATCCGTCAGTCATTTAATAGGCGTAGTTGGCGTAGGGCGCAGAGAAGGTCGAACGGACAACAGCCGGGCCGGCGGCGTATCCCCTGGTGTACGGAACCTGAGAGGTGTATGGGACCTGAGAGGTGTAGTAATGAGCGGGGGCGAGGACGCGGGCGGCGACGGGGGCGGCGAAACGAGTGGCGACGGGGGCGGCGACTCGAGTGGTGACGGGGGCGGCGACGGGAGCGTGTCCGCCGTCCTTGTGTACGACGGCGTTGAAGCCGTTGACGGCATCGGCCGTGTACTCGACAGTGCGGACGGAACCGTCGGGCTCGACGAGGGTGTAGCTGCCTTGGACGTTGTCTCCGTTCCTGCTTTCGGTCTGGGATTTGCTGTCACCGGTCACCGGGTCCTGGACGTTATAGCTGAAGCTGTACTGGGGGTTGGGGTCGAAAGGTTCCTGGGCCTGCTGGTTCACCACGTACTGTCCCTGGGCCACTACAACCAAAGCTGCCAAAAGAAATACCTAAACAGAAAAGCGCATCCACTTAACTTTTACTCCAATTTTCCTCTTCTCACAGGAAAACTTGTTTAAGCGACTATCTGTGCAAATAATACTTGCTAATCAAATATGTGCAACCATGATTTTATGGTAAGATTCCATTGTGTGATTTGCTGGTTATGAACCGATAGTTGGTTCGTGTTTTATCATTCTTATCTATCTTTATTTTTTTACTGGTAATAACCCATTTTAATACAATAATAACAAGAAAAACAAAGAACATTTAAAACAGGAAAAACACTGAAATATTAAAAACTGAAAATAATAGGATACAGTATAATTTAGATACCAATATTTACATAAAAAATAATCTGTGGTATTCGACTAGTAAATAAAAATAATTGTATACAAGATTAACTAGTTATAGATACATATATACACAACAAAACATTCGGTATACGCACACATATACACGCATACATATAAACTAATTTTGACAGAGAGAAAATGCGTTATTCTGGGACTAGAGTCCCCTAAAAATTACAAAAAGCCACAAATTTTTTTACAAAACTGGCACTTGAATTACTGAAGGTTTGACGGTAATATCTACTAAAATAAGTTGCAGTAAATCACACAATACAAATTATAAAAAATAGAAATATTAGTAGCAGTAAAATGAATTTTGGGAAAAGTAGTAATAATAAAGAATTGTCTGTAGTTTGCGAACATAATCACAAACTAAACTTGCACAAACTTATTGCAATATCTCACTGGCACGACAGACAAGAATGACACATCTACGCGGAGAATAGACATTTTGAGCCCTGAAGATGATCTCAATAAAGACCGAAACGTAGGCACGATAAAGAAAATGTTTTTCAAAATCTACGTCTCACCAGACCGCATCTTACGATCTCCGAATAATTACGAACTATGCTGTCTCTGAGAGAGAGAGAGAGAGAGAGAGAGAGAGAGAGAGAGACAGACAGACAGACAGACAGACAGAGAGAGAGAGGGAATACTTTATTCCGGGACGAAGGTGCCCTAAGAATATGGTAACAAAAATTTTTACAAATCTGGCAGTTGAATTATTGAATGTTTGACATAACATATAATGAAATAAATAGAAGTAAAACACATAATACAAAATATAAAAAAATAATATCAACATTACGACTTTAGAAAAAAAATTCCCTGCCTTTTGCGAACATAATCACAAAATGTGATAATAAAGGTTGAAAAAGGAAGTGAAAAGCTTTCTTATGTAGCAAAAGGATCTAATAATATTGTTGAACTATGTCGTCTCTGTTTGGAGAGAATAAAGCGCTAGCACAGGAGGGATTTAAAAGAGGTCAGGGAGTCAGCTTTGCGGATTGACAAAGGAAGAGAATTGCAGAGATTTGTGGCTCGAACTAGGAAGGGCCTCTCAATTGTGGTGGTTTTGCGACATAGGTCATTAGTAAACTATCGGGGTATTAACTGAAATAGCTTAAAAATATTGTGATGCCGTCGAGAAATGACCGTTGTTGTACAAGGTCCTCTCAAATTCCTGTTGAAATTGGACATTATTAGTAACTATACTACATGACAAGCATATTGACCGCATCCATCATCCCGTATATGGGAGAGCTAGAGAGTTGGTAGGAAAGTAGATGGGACACGAAAATTGATGAAAATTCTTGGGAGTCAGTATTCTTATTAAGAAATTCGTGGAAAAATATCATATCGGACATATTACTCCTCGCATGGAATTTACATCCAAACAACTTGATTTTTTGAAGTAGACTAATTTCAGGAATTACGCTGTAATTTTTCCAACATTTGGATGTTGATATTGGTATATGGAGACCAAACAGAACTAGCATACTCTAGAACTGGTCGGACTGTTAAAATGAAAAAAAAAAAACTGATTGTACTTTCTGTGAAGATATAAGAGGATCTATAAGTAATCCCAGTAGATACCATTTTGCAAATTTTTTCTATATAAAAGTTGAATGTTAATTTAATATCATGTCAGATTCCTAAGTCTTTAATGCCGGATAGTCTTCTTAATTGAGTTTATTAGTTATATTTTGTAAAGAAACATTTTTAACTTTATAGGAGTAAGCGATAATAGAGCATTTGCCCCAAATCAAAGACATGTTATTTTTACAGCACCATGTCGTCTAGTGAATAACAAGGCAGTTTTTTATATTAGAAAAAGTGTGAAATAATTTTAGACCGTCTGTATGTAATAATGATCTATCAGAATGGAGGATAGAAGGAAGATTGATAAAAAGAAGAAATAAAACTGGACCTAAGTACGACCCCTGAGGTACGCCTATTATAGTGCAATTTTTGTCTGTGAACATCCTCAGTTTAGTTTATCGGTTGAAACGTATATGACAAGAAAAACAGAGGACAGACAGACAAGAATGATCAGCAACTTTATTCTTAAGGGGGTCCCAGTTTTTAAACAATAAATGAGTATATACTTAATTTACAAAGTTTTATACACGTTCTTATGTATAAAAAATAAGAAAATTTATTATTATACTGCTGGTAATTTTTTTTTTAAATATTGCGTACATTTATATCCTTATAAAAATATAATTTACAATTGGAAATAAATAGCGAACAATTCAAATATTTTAAAAATAAAAGAAATAAAGAGATTTTAACCGTTGTTATTGAAAATCTAAAAAATTATTTTAATTAATAAAGAATTCATTCTCAAATCTCCGAATTTTAGTCTAATTTTGTAGTCTAGCCTTTTGAATTTGGTTCCGAATTTAATTCGCAAAATACCTTTTTCTGCCTGTTATATTGCACATTCCGTATATCAAAAATAATTGTATTAACATTAACTTTCACACTGAAAAAAATTTGTTTATTTTATGCACTGTTATTTGGCCTATTTCTCTCATAGACGACCGTTTACGGGTTGGCTAAAATAATTTTTTTAAAAGAAAATATTAGTTAAAGAACGTTATTGTCGGTAAAAAAATCAAATGTTTACCCTGAAGACCATGGTGGAAGGATGTATGAAGTCTCTTTGAGAACTGATAGAGCTGGAGATGGTCAACCAGCTTTATATACACCTACTAACCTGTGGGCATCCTTGGAATCGTCGCATCTTTCGGTAACTCCTTTCCCTTTATTGAATCCTATTTAACGACTGTTATGTTACCGCTGAGACTTGACTTGGCACCGGTTTTTTTCCATTTTAAATTACGATGTACTGCGGTCACAAAAAGCAATCTGAGACAGCCGACAATCCAAGTTATTGTTCTTCCAAAACCATTATAAAGATTCCGGCTGAAAACTGTCCTTTTTCTCTCTCTGAAATATGATAATGCAAAATACATAAAAGTTTCTTTTTTTATCAACCATTCAACATTAAGTGTAGTTATTTCACATGTTTGTAAATACTAATTATCCATGATAAATCATTATTATAACGATGATAGACGGAAATAAAATCCGGAAAATTCGAACAGATTCAAAATCAAACTATCTAATAAATCAATGTTCTCACAAAAGTAAATGATCCTATTTTAGCTCAATGATTATGTTGTTAATTTACTAATGAAATAATTAATATTATTTAATTAATTGAAACCAACAAAACAATATAATTCTTTTGGGTATTTCCCTATTATTGTATGGTTTCAGAGGGATTTTAGCATTCCCATCCGTTTAGATATCTCAGTGATCCTTATATAATTATGCGTTTTTTTCATTTTTATCAAAATCACCAAAAGCGTCTGGCAGGTCAAGGCAGCGGGGAAAAAATGGGCAATGATGACTGTGGACGACCAAAATATAAATAGCAGACCTCAAGGAAAAATCCCACACTAAAATAACAGTTCTAAAGTTGACCACATTTGATGATATTTACACAGTGTAAAACCACTCATTCAACATTATTACCTAGCCTCCAGGAGGTATACTATTTTTCCGTAGAAGTCAAGACCGCGTTTGACAGTGTGGTCCGAAATACTGTAGTCTATAGGGTGTTCCAGTTCGTTCTGACGAAACTCAAGGAATCGATTCTACTCTTCATTTGGAGCAAAAACTGCCCAGGAGAAAATTTTCGGAAAGTTCTCTATTTTGAAGATATTCGTCAATTTAGGTTTTTTCAACTTTTCACTACCTTACCACATAAAAACGTACAACTAATATAAATAAATAATAATTTTTTAATTATGATTTTGGTCGAGATAAAAAAGTCAGTGTCACGAGCGGGATTCGAACCAATTTACTGTTGTTCAAATCATTGTCGCCGAGAATCAGTTAGATTACTCCACATTTGAAAAATGGCAAAAAAGAGGGAAAATTCAAAAGGTGGGGTTGAGATGGGAAGTTGGTGTCCGAGGGGATCGAGGTCACGATAGCTCAAGTGGTAGAGCAGCGGCGTATTTAGCCGAAGGTCGTGGGTTCGAATCCCGCTCGTGACATTGACGTTTTTGTATCAACCAACACCTCACATAAAGATTAATTAATTGAAAGATATAACAATAATAGTGACATGGCCATTTTACGGCATGGTAATGATCAAGCTATTGTTTTTCTTGTTAAATATTATTATCATATTCAGTAGTTTTCGTGGTCCGCTTAGCCAATTAATATCTTTAAATTAATTAAGGTTTTTAGTTGAGATAAAAAAGCCAGTGTCACGAGCGGGATTCGAACCCACGACCTTCGGCCAGATACGCCGCTACTTTACCACTTGAGCTATCGTAACTTGTATCCACTCGTAACACTGACCTTTTTATCTCAACTAAAAACCTTAATTAATTGAAAGATATTAAGTGGTCAAGCGGACCACGAAAACTAGTGAATTTAATAAGTTAATAATTAATTAACGTTTTTACTTGAGATAAAAAAAATTTAATATGTTAAAATGAAGTATATCTTCACTACAGATCTCCGTGGCCATTTCATTTGTCGCCGAGAATCAAATTGATTACACGACATTTGAAAAATGGCAAAAAGGACGGAAAATTCGAAAGGTGGGGTTGACAAGGGAAGTTAGTGTCCGAGTGGATCGAAGTCACGACAGCTCAAGTGGTAGAGCAGCGGCGTATCTAGCCGAAGATCGTGTGTTCGAATCCCGCTCGTGTCACTCACGTTTTTATCTCAACTAAAAACCTTAATTAATTGGAAAATTATTATCATAAACCACTCATGTTTTATGGGAAATATGGCTGAGTTGAAATATTATTGTCACGAGCGCGAATTGAGCACAGTTAATGGTTAGTCAAATATTGCTAATTTACCGGTTTCAGTTCCAATCTGTAATTAATAATTTTTTGAACACGAGATTTGAAATAAAATGTCAATGTCACGGATGGGATTCGAACTCATTATCTTCGGAACTGTACTAGCCTCCAGAGCCGCCGTGAATTCGATCTACGATACATCGACTTTTCCATCACACCACATAACATTTGTGAAATTCTCTTTTTTTATTGTCCATCGGTGACTTTTTTCTTTCAATTACCAGAGGTCAACTAATCATTCAGAATTCTTTATCGTTTATAACGTACTGTAACTCAGTCATCTCAGTTTGCATTATCTCTCTGGTTTGGGTGTGTTAATTATTAACCGTGCTTGATGCCTGATAGGCAAAACCGGTGAGACTAGGCAGCCCGAGATGATTGGAGACTATCAAGCTACAGATTCATCACTTTGCATATCTCACAACAACGTTCCATTATCGGGAAAATTAATTACACCAGATACTGAGGGGACAGAACGATCTTTTTTTTCTCAGGTCATGCTAACAAAATGACGCGTATCAACGTGATATCCAGAAACATTTCAACGATCAATCACCTACGAAAACAAATTAATAATTCGCCAAGTTATCAGCCCTCCCGTTCAAAGCACCGGCGAACTGTTTTGAATTAAACAGCTTCTGACAGATTGAGACGGATGGATTTTTTTCCTTATTTTCTGTTTTTCTTTCCTTGACCGTTCTGGATTGCGCCATTAATTTTAAATAATTTAATCTAGAATGAGAAAGGAGATAAAAGCTGGTGATTCGAAAGGGGGAGACGGCTTGTGGATGACCCTTCTGATCGACCGGAAAATTAATTTAATCATCTACGATATAAAAAGGGAAAGGCATTGTTAAGAAAATGATAAAGAGCTAAAGCATTTAAAAGTTTTATCCGTAAAATGGTTATTTGTGACTTTTAGAGATAAAATTTTTTTTTATGTTTTTAAGCATTATTATTCTTTTATGTCGACTCTTATTAAAAAATAAACACTTTCTTAATCGTCAATTATTAGAGGCGTAACATTGCTTTCTCTTTAAACAAGCGACACGAATAATTTATGGATTTTTGTTATTCACAAACAGGGCGTCGTTTCTGATTATTTCTTCGAGTTTGTTTTTGCAATCAACGACTATTAACGATTAAAAAGACAATACCTTTTATATCTGTGTTTCGTTCAAATAAAAGAATCCTTACGTATAAAAAAAGCATTTCTATAATTTCAACGTTTGGAGAAAAGAGTCGCGTTGAAATTTTATATTAATTCGGCCATTGTTTTTCCGCAGAATGATTTTGCATAGTGAATATTTTTCAACGAACTGAGCTTTGTTATAAACCTTTGTGTTTTTAATATGTTTTCTTTTGTATGTACGGATTGTATTGTTGGAAAGTCACCCCTCTTCATACGTCGATGAAATTTGAAATATGGTAATAAAAACTAATGTACAAATGTGAAGGAAATTTTTTAATTATGTTCAGCAAATCACGACGTTAAATTCACCCATATTTTACATCAATTTTGAAAAATAATGTATCATAGAACAAGTAAGTAAAAGTGCCGTACAGGAGGGTATAAACCTTTCTAGATCACTACATGAACATAAAGAAATTAAATAACTCAGCAATTATAAAACAAACATCCCGAGATTTTACCGCCAAAAAAGTCAATGTTGCCAATGCACGGCGGAAACACTGCGCCCAAACCTCACGGGATTTCCCGCTAATCTTTAACAAAATTGCTAAACTTTATGTAAGATATTGGCTAAAATGAAAAAGTTAGTGTCAAGAGGGGGATTCGAACCCACGATCTTCGGCTTGATACGCCGCTGCTCTACCACCTGAGCTATCGTGACCTCGATCCACTCGGACACCAACTTCCCATCTCAACCGGACCTTTTGAATTTTCCCTCCTTTATGCCATTTTTCAAATGTCGTGTAATCGGATCGGATTCTCGACGACAAATGAAATGGCCGCGGAGAGCTTTAGTGAAGTAAACTTCATTTTAAATCATTAAATTCACCAATTTCGTGGCCCGCTTGACCAATTAATATATTACAATTAATTAAGGTTTTTAGTTGAGATAAAAAAGCCAATGGCACCAGCGGGATTCGAACCCACGACCATCAATGGAAGGACGAAATATAATGGACTCTCACGCCGCGGTCGTGGGTTCGATTCCCACCGTCGCCTCTGGCCCTTTTTTCACAATAACCCCCCACCCAAATTTGAACACACATATATGAATTGTCACATGGCTAATATGCATAGTTCATAACGCAAAAAAAAAAAAAAAAAAACGTATATCTTCACTAATGCTCTCCGTGGCCATTTTTTTAAAATTAAGCCTTCGCTTGAAGAAACAACATTTATAAATATAAGCGGACCAAGCTGGGTCTGACGCAGCTTTTATCTGTGGAAAACAACAGTGTTTGTTCTCTTTACCCCATGTACTATCCCTCTGAGCTCTATGCGATGGATGAGTCCATTAAGGAAGTGGCTAGTTCGAGAATTTTAAAATTTATAGTCCGCTCTGTTGAATTTGAGAAATATCTTTTCCCCATCCTTTTGTGCAGAACATTTAAAACGGGCGATAGAACATGGTAAACGGTCAGTCTTTACTCCCCATGGGGATTTCTTGTCTCACTTGACTGAAATTGCTAGCGTGGAAACGTTTGGTATGGAAATAGAGATGCTAAATTGCGAGAAGTTAAACCCCAAGTCAAATCATGGGATCTTCTTTATGATCCGCAAGACATGAAGAGACCGTTCTAACTCGTTTAAGAATAGGACACACGAGACAATTCATGGCCGAGGAAGATCCCCCGAGCTGTAGT